ATATAAAAAAAAAAAAAAAAAAAAAAAAGAAGAAGAAGAAAAAGAAGGGAAAAAAAAGGGGGGAAAAAAAAAAAAGAAGGGGGGAAAATAAAGAAGGGAGGGGGGAAAAAAGAGAGGGGGAGCGCGCATTTAGAAGACACGGAGGAGAGGAGCAGGCTCGGGGGGAAAGGGCTGTTGCGGGGGTCTGCAGGCACCGCACGGGGATCACGCGTGGGCCGCCCCGTCCGGGGCGCCGTGAATGGGGCGGGGGCTGGGGGCGTGGCCTCGGAGCGTAGCCCCGCCCCTTTCCCCGTCTCGACCAATGGGCGGCGGCGGCGGCGGCCACGTGGGGCGGGCCGGGTTCCCAGGCGGCCAAAATGTGAATGGGCGCGGGGGAGCGCGGGCGGGCAGAGCGGCGGCGGCGGCTCCGCGGGGGCGCAGGGCGCGGGCGGGGCGGCCCCGATGTGCGGCCGGCCGCCGAGCTCTCGGGCCTCGGCCCCGCTCCGCCCCGGCTCTGCCCCGCGCTGAGGGCAGCGAGGACGCCGCCGCCGCCGCCGCCGAGCAGCAGCAGGAGGAAGAGGAGGAGGAGGAAGGCGCTCGCTCGCTCGCTCGCTCCCGCCGCCGCTCCGGCATGAGCGCGGCTTTCCAGCCCTCGCTGATGATGATGCAGCGCCCGCTGGGAAGCAGCACGGCCTTCAGCATCGACTCGCTGATCGGCAGCCCCCCTCCGCCCGCCCCCGGGCACTTCGTGTACACCGGCTACCCCATGTTCATGCCCTACCGGCCCGTGGTGCTGCCGCCGCCGCCGCCGCCGCCGCCCGCGCTGCCGCAGGGAGCGCTGCCCCCCGCGCTGCCCCCCGCGCACCCGCACCACCACCAGCTGCCCAGCCTGCCCTCCGGCTTCTGCTCCAGCCTGGCCCAGGGCATGGCGCTCACCTCCACGCTCATGGCCACGCTGCCCGGCACCTTCCCCGCCTCCCCTCAGCACCAGGAGGCCGCCAGGAAGTTCGCGCCCCCCGGGAACTTCGAGAAAGCCGAGGGGATACCCCCGGACGGCGGCGGCGAGGATGGGAAAGGCTTCCTGGGCAAGGACGGGGCGCTCCTGCCCTTCCCCGCCGCCGACGCCGTCCAGGCTTCCCTCGGTGAGTGAGCGCCGCTGCCCGGGATGGGGGGGTCGGGAGATGCGGGGGAAAGCCCCGGGAGGAGATGGGGCTGGCCCCGGGGGGCTCCGAGGGGAAGGGAAGGGTTGAGCTCCCGCCGCCGCCGCTCGGGAAGCTCTCGACAAAATCAACGCGACCCAAAGATGCTCCGGCAAAAAAAAAAACAAACTAAAAATTTAAAAAAAAAAAAAAAAAAAATCCCCCGAGCCATCAATTTTGGGGTGCTGGAGCCGCAGGGCCGGGGGCGCCGCGGCTCGGAGGGTGCGGGATGCTAACGAGAGGCCTCTGCTTCCTTCCCAGCCGGGGCTCTCCGGGGCCAGGGCAAGGAGGATCCCAAAGCAGAGGAGGACGCGAAAGGCAAGGAGGAAAGTTTCTCCATGGACAGCGATCTCGATTATAGCTCGGACGACAACATCCCCGGCCAGGCGGCTCACAAGGAAGAGGACTCTGGCAACGCGCTCGAGGAAAACCCCCAGAACCCCCAAAATTCCGCCAACACCACGTCCACGGGCAAAAACCGGCGGAGGCGAACAGCCTTCACCAGCGAGCAGCTGCTGGAGCTGGAGAAGGAGTTTCACTGCAAAAAGTACCTGTCCCTGACAGAGAGGTCCCAGATCGCTCACGCCCTCAAACTCAGCGAGGTGCAGGTGAAAATCTGGTTCCAGAACAGGCGGGCCAAATGGAAACGGGTCAAGGCGGGCAACGCCAACTCCAAGACAGGGGAACCTTCCCGAAACCCCAAGATCGTGGTGCCCATCCCGGTGCACGTCAGCAGGTTCGCGATCAGGAGTCAGCACCAGCAGCTGGAGCAAGCCCGACCCTGATCTCTCCCTCCTCCTCCTCCTACGCTCACAGCCACAAGGGGTTTTTTTTTTAAAAAAGGGAAAAAAGTTTCCAACCCGGGGTTTGAAGGCGACCCACCCGAATAAAAACAGAATGGAGAGAAGCAAAAAAAAAAAAAAAAAAAGAAACAAACCCCAAAACCCCCAACAACGACAACCACGACAAAACAAACCCCACCAAACCTAAACCAACACGAAAATCAAACAAAACCCCTCGCGAGCGCATGGCAAATCCCCACCACGAGCGAACTTTAAAGCGAAACTTTCCACTCGCCGCCGAGGGAAGAGGCTTGGAAACTGTTTGGGTTCGGAGCAGGGATATCCCAGGCTGGAAGAGACCCCCCCACACCCCTCCCACACACACACACACACACACACACACACACACAGATATTTATTGCGAGGCTGCCCCGCTTTGGACACCCTTGGCTGGCACGGCGGATGCGGAGCCGGCGCTGGAGCATCCCCAGCGAAACCCGCGGCGCCTTTAACCCATCTTTGGGGTTTTCTTTCTTATTCGGGGGCGAAAGGTAAAAGAAAAACAACAAAAAAGACGAGAGAACAAACAAATGAACAAAAAAAAAAAACCGAAAGAAAACTCAGAGTTTCATTTCATGCCTTTTTTTTTTATTGTTTGGTTTTATTGCCGATGGCTGAGTGGCAGGCACTGGGGAATGAGTTTTGAAATCTAATTTTTTTTAAATTTTTTTTTTTTTTTTCGCCTGGCTTTCTGTCGATTTGCCTATTCTACCAAGCCATGTTTAAAGGAGAGAAACAGAGGGAGGGGGGGAAAAAGGCAAAAAAAAAAAAAAAGCAAACAAAAAAAAGAAAAAGCAGCACGATCTTCACTATTGTGTTTAATTTATTTCAATGTAGCTTATTTCCTTATAAGTTATGAAAATTTAAAAGCAAACTAAGTCTTGTGAATAAAAACCGACAAAGAAACAAAAAAGACTTTAAAAAAAAAAAAGCCAAAAAAAAAAAAGCCCTCCAGCCCCCGGCTGTTCTGTCCAGGATTTGGCGTTGAGCTGATTTTCTTTTCCCCTCCTGCGCTGCCGGAGCGATGCTGCTCTCGCCCGTGTTTTTGTTTTTTTGTTGTGTTTTGGTTTTGTTTTTTCCTTTTGCGAAGCCACGTTTATTGCCGGGGAGGGGGGAGCCGGGTGGAAAACTTTCTCTTGTTTTTTTTTTTTCCTTTTTCCCCTTTATTTGAGGGATGAAAAAGCTGGGAAAAAAAGAAAAAAAGCAAAAAAAAAAAAGCTGTTTAGCTGTGATTAAACGGGGATGGCCGCGGGGTTGGGGGGCAGGAGCACCCCCGCATCCTCCCCCAGCATCCCGCGGGTCCCCAGCCCCTGTTTGGGGGTCCAGAGCCCCCTAGCCCCGTGTTTTGCTGGGGGTGCCGCCTCTCCCAGCCCCGTTTTTGGGGGTTCTGCCGCTCCCCCAGCCCCGTTTTTGGGGGTGCACCGCTCCCCCCCAGCCCCGCTCCCGTTCTCGTTGCGTCGGGGCCGGAGCGGGGGGTGGGGAGGGGTCGGGGCCGGAGGGTCCCGCGTCCCCCCCTTCCCTTCCCGCATCCTTTTCATCCCTCCTTTTTTTTCTTTTTCTTTTTTTTTTCCATCCCCATTATCCGCATCCCGGCTCCATCCGTGCCGGTGCCACCGTGACATCGGCGGCGATTTGGAATTAAAAATGAAATTTTCCCGAGGAAAACGGAGCGCAGTGCGGGGGGGGGGGGGGGGAGGGTCTGTGTGTGTGTGGGGAGGGGGGGAATCCTATTAAAATCAAATAATTAAACCGGAGGGGTCATTCGGTCCCGGGACAGGTTCCCAGGCTCGGCCGGGTCACATCGCTCGCTCTTCGTCGTTTATTTATTATAATTATGATAATTAATGTTGTTAATATTATTTTGTTTGGGTCGGAGGGGGTCGGCGGCGGTGCCGGGGGGGGGTCCCCAATCCCCACCAGCCGCTCCCCAAAAAGGCACAACCCCTGCGAGAAAAACACGCGCAGTTCCAGCTTTTTCTGCTTAAAAAAACCTCGGAATATTCCTACTAACGATGAGAATAATTTTGGGTTTGGTGTGCGCGGGGGGGTTCGCCGGGAGCCGCGGGACACGCGTGGGACAAAAACACCCCGGGCCACCCCCGGAGCTGCTGCTGCTAAAAAAAAAAAAAAACCAAAAAATAATAATTTCTGGAAGTGCTCGGATTTCTTTGGGGCGGCCAGCGCTGAGCCTCGGGCTGTGCCCCCTTCCCGAATCCCCCCCCCGGGGATGGGAGTTGTGTGTTTTAGGGAGGAGCAGCTGCTCCTCACCCCCGTCCCCAGCCCGGGGCATCCCTCCCTGGGCACTGCCCGGGGTTGGGGTCCCCGCTGCCCCCCCGCCATGGCCCGGGTGAGGCTGCGGAGGGAAGCCCCGGGCCGGGGGCCGGAGGAGAAGGAGATAAACAAGCGAGGGGGTTGATAGCTGTCATCATCACCATCATCATGGCTTTCATTTGGCTGCCTAATGAGTCACATCACAGGCAGAGAGAAAAATTGTCAATCGCCCAGGCTCTAATGAATTTTTTTGCAAATTGTAATCAAGCCAGGCCGTCTCAGCTCGCTGATTAATGAGACCCAGGAGGCCCGGCCAGCACCTCAGCTTTTTATTCCATCCCGTCCTCCCTGCACTAAATTAACAGCAACTTGTCTGAGCTTCAAATTAACTCCCAATGATTAATTCTGATGGGGGGGCCTGAAGAATAGCTCGTCCTAATAGGCACTGGCCTCTGATGCTGTTTGAAATTAATACACTTCCCCTTTGGCTGCCGGCTTTAATCCAAGGTTGGGGTTTGACATCACTATATTTGTTGTTACAATAAATTCCTCTTACATCTGCAGATCAAATAATTGAGCTGCTCGGGGAGCGATGCCGGCAAACCCAAAGTCGGAGGGGATGGAGAACCGCCCGCTCCTCTCCTCCTCACCCCCGGCGGGTTTAGCAAAACCCGGCTTTAGATTTATCCACAAATGCGGCTTTTTAAGGCTCGGCAGCCCCGGGATGCGGCGGCCGGAGGAGGCGACCCCTCCTCGGCGGGGCCGGGCTGGCGCTGCCTCGCTGTTTAAATAAGACATCAGCGCCTTTAAATCCCCCCCTCCGTCACCCTCCGGCCGCAGTGACCCGGCAAAGTCCCCGCAGAGACCCCGCAAACCCAGCCCGGCCCCGCTTCTGTTCGCATTGCTTTAATTGGGTTCATTCTTTCAGCCGGGACGGGCCGGGCTGGGGCTTTTTGTGCCTTTTACCTGCTCGGACAGGAGTATTTTGTGCCTTTTACCTGTTCCTGCTGGTCCCGGGGATGTGACGAGGAGCTTTCCGTGCCCGAGCGGGGTCCGAGCATCCCCCGGAGCGGGGCTGACCCCAACACCCCCAGAGAGGGTCTGCACTCCCTTGGGAATGTCCTCCCGAGGGGCTGAGCGTCCTCCCCGTCCCCCGATGGGTGGGATTTGCCCACCCAGCCCTGGGGTGTCCCCCGAGGTCGCGTCCCCCCCTCCCCGGCTCCCCCGTGTCCATCTCGGAGCGCGATGGGGCCGGCACCGCCGGAAAGCCCCCGGCACCCCGACACACAAAAGCAACACCATATGCGCCAAGACAACCTGTATGAATTATAAATCGCACCATAAAAATGGATCGCTCATCCCGAGCCTTGGGGACCGCGGGCAGGGGAGGCGCTGGGCCCGGCCACCCCTCGTCCCCGCTGGGTGCCGGCTCCTTCCCGTCCCCTCCCGTCGCCTCGGGATGCTCGCCCGCCCCTCGCTTGCTCTTTTCTCCCTCCCGCTACGCCTGGACCATAGAGAGCCTTAATCTATTTATTTCAAGCCACTTCATCCTCTCTCCCGCTTTTGTCCCGGCCCCAGCCTCTGGCTTTGTGGCAGCACCGCTGAGGTTTTAAAAGCCCCTTCCCCTATAGTTTGAGGTCTCCTTGGCTGCCTGAATGACAATGGCTGAAACAGGATTACACTGACCTGATCCTATTAAACTCGCCAATCGATCTGTGCCGCCCTCCCTCCAACTTACTCGCCCAACTTTCCCCAGGGCTCAGCCTGGGAAGAGGGAGAAGTCCCAGGGCTCCTTTCCGAGCAGGCCCGATGGAGAAAGGAAGGAAGGATGGAGGGATGTAGGTTACTTTTGTTTTCTTGGTTTGATGCTTTTTTTTATTTATTTCTTTTTATTTATTTTTTTTTTTAATGGAGGCACGTGGATTTTAAAGCTCTGTTTCATCTCCCAGAGTCTCGGCTCCGAATCAAAAGGCGGCGTTTCCTCGGTGCCCTGACTGCCAGCTCTGGCAGGAGATGGAGTCAAATCCCTAAAACCACGCGGAGAAGGGGTATTTTAGCTAAAAGCCAAACAGAATGGCCACAGAATCCCGCAGAATTTGTAGAGATTTGAGCCACCAGCAAAACCCTCCGCTGAGGGGGGATGCTGGTGAACCTCGGACCGCGTTCCACCTTTTACAGACAACCCAAAAAAAACCCCCCGGGAATCCACAGCGCTCCGTGCCGACTCCCGAGTCCCTTTGGTTTTTCACAGGAGCGGAGGAGGATCCAGGAGCGGCCGCAGCTCCAGGTTTTGCTGCTCGGAGAGCCCCGGGAGCGGCGGCGCTGCCGCCGGGGGATGAGGATGCTCCGAGCCGGGTCCTCCGCTCCAGCATCCGCGGGGGAACGGGAATTCATCCCCTCCATCCTCAGAGTGGAAAGGGAATTCATCCCCTCCATCCTCAGAGTGGAAAGGGAATTCATCCCCTCCATCCCCAGAGTGGAAAGGGAATTCATCCCCTCCATCCCCGGGGAACGGGAATTCATCCCCTCCATCCGAGCCCCGGGAAAATCATTCCGAGGCAGGGGGATGGAGTGAAAATGCAGTGAAATATGGGGTGTTTACCCCTGGCCTGCCAGGATGAGTGGCAAAGGGCCCATCGCAGGCTCCGGGGGAGCGCTTTTAATGCTCAGAT